TCTCATTGTGGTTTTGATTTGCATTTCTCTGATGGCCAGTGATGATGAGCATTTTTTCATGTGTCTGTTGGCTGTATGAATATCTTCTTTTGAGAAGTGTCTGTTCATATCCTTTGCCCACTTTTTGATGGGGTTGTTTTTTTCTTGTAAATTTGTTTGAGTTCTTTGTAGGTTCTGGATATTAGCCCTTTGTCAGATGAGTAGATTGCAAAAATTTTCTCCCATTCTGTAGGTTGCCTGTTCACTCTGATGGTAGTTTCTTTTGCTGTGCAGAAGCTCTTTCGTTTAATTGGATACCATTTGTCAATTTTGGCTTTTGTTGCCGTTGCTTTTGGTGTTTTAGCCATGAAGTCCTTGCCCATGCCCAAGTCCTGAATAGTATTACCTAGGTTTTCTTCTAGGTTTTTATGGTTTTAGGTCTAACATTTAAGTCTCTAATCCATCTTGAATTAATTTTCGTATAAGGAGTAAGGAAAGGATCCAGTTTCAGCTTTCTACTTATGGCTAGCCAATTTTCCCAGCACCATTTATTAAATAGGGAATCCTTTCCCCTTTTCTTGTTTTCGTCAGGTTTGTCAAAGATCAGATGGCTGTAGATGTGTGGTGTTATTTCTGAGGGCTCTGTTCTGTTCCATTTCCTAATGTAAACATTTACAACTACAGATTTCCCTCTTAGCAGTGTTTATACTCTGTCCTGTAGTTTTGGCATATTGTAGCTTTGTTTTAATTTGTCTCATGATTATTTTCCAATTTCCATTGTGATTTCTTATTTGAGCCCTTGGTAGTTTGAGCATTTTGTTCAATCCCCGCATATTTGTGGATTTTCCAGTTTTCCATCCACTATTGATTTCTAGTTTGAATCAACTGTGATTGGAAAATATAATTTGTATGATTTCAGTCTTATAAAATGTGGGGAATGTTCCATGTGCACTTGAGAAAACTGTATTCTCCTCATTTATTTTCATTAACATCTTTGTTGAGATATAATTCATATACCATACAGCCCACTTAAAATATATAAATAAGTTGTTTTTTGTAGTCACAAAGTTGTGCAACCATCACCACAATCAATTTTGCAATTTTATCACCGCAAAAAGAACCTCTGTACCCATTCACAGCCATTCTATATTCCCCCAACACCCTGCACCACATTCTAGCCCTAGGCAACCACTAATCTACTTCCTGTCTCTCCATATTTGTCTGCTGTGGCATATGATTCTATTTTTTCTTTATTATTTCAGTCTTTTTGGGGGAACAGGTGGTGTTGCTTACACAGATAAATTCTTTAGCGGTGATTTCTGAGATTTTGGTACACCCATCACCCGAGCAGTGTATACTGAACCCAATTAATCTTTTATCCCTCTCACCCTTCACCCATAAGTCCCTAGAGTCCATTATATCCTTCTTATGCCTTTGTGTTAGAGAATTGTTTTTTATGTCTCTTAAATCTAATTGGTCTGTAATGTTGTTCAAGTCCCTTATTTCTTATTGGTCTTCTATCCAGTGGTTCTATCGATTATGGGAAATGGGGTATTGAAGTCTACTTTTATTGTAGAGTGGTCTTTTCTCCAAGTCTGTCAATGCTTCATATATTTGGGTACTTTAATGTTTGGTACATATATAATTGTATCTATCTTCTTGCTGAACTGGCCCTTTTGTTTGACTCATATGTTCTTATATAATGTCCTTCTTGGTATGTTTTAACAGTTTTGACTTAAAGTCTATTTTGTCAGATATTACTGTAGTCACTCCTGTTTTCTTTTGGTTACAAAATTTCAGATTATCTTTTTCCATCCTTTTACCTTCAATCTATGCATATCTCTGGATCTAAAGTTAGTTGCATGTAGACAGCATAAAGTTGGAATTTAGTTTTTAAAAATCCATTCTTCTATTCAATTTATTTTGGTTAGGGAGTTTTGTCCATTTACATTTAAAGTTATTGGGAGGCCTGTTGCTATTTGTTCACAGTTTTCTGTATGTCTTGAGGACTTTTAGCCTCTCATTTCCTCCCTTATTGCCTTCCTTAGTGTTTAGTTCATTTTGTGTAATGATGCAACTTCAATCGTATATAAAGACTCTACTGCTTTTCAGCCCCTGTCCTACCTTGTTTTACTGGTGTCACCAATTAGATCTTTAGGTTATGTACCCGTTAACAAAGATTTATAGTATGTTTTATGCTTTTGTCTTTTAAATTCTATGAAAGAATGAAAAGTGAGTTGTCAACCAAAATTAAAATAATACAGGCCTTTATATTTGTCCAAATATTTACATTTACTGGAGAATTTCATATTTGCATATAGCTTTGCGTTATTGTCTAGTATCCTTCTGTTTCAACTTGAAGGATTTTCTTTAGGATTTTGTAGGGAAGATATAGTGGTAATGAATTTCCTCAGCTTTTATCTAGGAATGTCTTTATTTCTTTTTCATTTTTGAAGGATACTTTGCTGGATATAGTATTCTTCTAGGTGTTTTTTCTTTCAGCACTTTAAGTATATCATCCTACTGACTTCTGGCCTGCAAAGTTTCTGCTGAAAAATCTGTTGATAATCTTACAGATGCTCCCTTGCATGTGATGAGCCATTTTGTCTTGCTGCTATCAAGATTTTCTCTTTGACATTCGACTGATTAAAATGTGTCTTGCTGTGGGGTCTCTTTGGGTTTATCCTACTTGGAGTTCATGGAGCTTTTTGTATTTGTATATCCATTTTTCCTTAAATTTGGCAATTTTTCAGCTATTAATTCTTCAAATAAGTTATTTGTCTCCTTTTCTCTCTCTCCTAAGATTACACTAATATACATATTGGCCCACTCGATGGTGTCACTTAGCTGCTGTTCACTTTTCTTCTTCATTCTTTTACTTTTGGCTTCTCTGACCTGCTCATTTCAAATGACCTGTCTGAAAGCTCGCTCATTCTTTCTTATACCTGTTCAGCAGGTATAAGACCTGTTCTGCTGGAACCCTTCAAGTGAATTTTTCAATTCAGTTACTGTATTTTGCAGCTTTAGAATTTGTTTTGTTCTTTTTTGTAATTTTTGTTGATAGTCTCATTTTATTAATATATAGGTATCCTGATTTCATTTAGTTGTCAATATTCTCCTTCAGCTCATGGAGCATATTTATGGCAGTTATTTTAAAGTCCTTGTCTAATAAGTGAGAAGCCTTTGTTTTTTTAGGATAAATTTCTGGATATTAATTTTGTTCCTTTAATATGGTCCATGTTTCCCTGTTTCTTTGGATGTCTTGTGATCTTAACGTTGAAAAATGGGTGTTTGAAAAAACAGTCAGTTCTCTCAGTCTTGCAGACTGGCTGCATGCAAGCAAAGACCTTCACTAATCAGCGTGGTGTAAAGTCTTGAGGTTCTCTCAAACCTTTTCTGGGGATGTGTCTTTCCTGGGCCTGTGTGTTTTTATTCCAGTTTTCCATACACATGGCTTCTTTTAAATGTCCTAATTAATTACCTAAAAGTCTCACCTACTTCTCACAGATTTAGATGCTGTATTGTATTCCTCTGCCCATAATTTTTTGCCACCAGGTTCCTGCAGTTCTGTGGACTCACTGCACCTCTCACATTCAGGGTACCAACCACCGGTTTCTGCAGCTTCCAACCTGATATCCAAATGACGCAGCTGTTCCCATCAGTACTGAGTCAGGCAAGACAGATACCAGTCCCTCAGGCAGGCCCCAGAAAAACCAGAATGTTGCAAGCAAGTCTACTCTTTTCCTTCCATTCCAAGGGAGGGAACTGGGAATTGGGTGGCTTCTTCCTGACTGTGCTGTGCGAGGGAGTATGTGGGGAAAGGGTAAGAAAAACACCATGACATTTCCTACTATTTTGAGTATGGCCTTTTCTTAGTTAGGCATTCTTTTGGTTGCTTCTGCTGGCTGACGGACTGGTTTCTAGAGCTCTCCCAAAGCTACTTTGGTCTGGGTATCATATATTCAGTCTTTCAATGGGGGGAGCAAAGGCCTGGAGCTTCCTAATCCACCATTTTGCTAACGCTGTATCTTTTAAAGAGGTGTTTTTTTTTTTTTGAAAAGAAAAATTCTATACACACACACACATATCTATAGATAGATTTCACATTACTATTTCTATTTTTTTCTCCATCTTTTTTATGTGTGTGTACAGAGATTCAGATTTCCTTCTGGTATCATTTTCCTTTTGTATGAATTACTTCCTTTAACATTTCAAGTATAGATCTTCCTATACTTAATGATTTCTACTGACCCTTTTTCTGCTTTGCTCAAATTGCTAAAGACCTTATCCAGTCCATTTTTACCAAGATTACAAACTTGGTCTCCCCCTTGTCATGGGAAGTGGGTAAATTCTCTGCTTAGCTAAAGACTACAGCCATTTCCTTTCACAGGTACCTAGGTGTCTCACCCTGTAAATGGTATTTAGATGTCTGCCAAGCATTTGAGGGAAATACGTATGCATGTTTTGAGGGGTCTCTTTTTTCTAGAATTTCCTACTTAAAAATTTGTACCACCTTGGCAGCCCTACTCTCTGACTCCTCAGTCCAATAAGACTACTACTTTTTGCTTGAGTTCTTATCTCTGTGAACCCACGAACTGGAAAGCGCTTTCAGGAGAAGCTAGTTGAATGTGGATCTAAACCAGTATTTCTGCTCTTTCAAAGATCATACCACTTCCAGTTTCTACTTATTATTGATTATTCATCTGTGCCTTCAAATATATTTTTTAAAATTCACAAATCCAGAGTTTATGTTGGTTCAATACAAGCTACTTTGCTGTTACTAGAATTAGAACTGAGTTATTTTTAAAACTTTTTTAAAAATGGGAAATACCTGAGCATGACTAAAAGCTATCAAATTCCAGTAATTCGATAATGGAAAGCAATTTTTATCTACAAAAAAATTTATATTTCAGTTTTAAAAAGTACTTTTTATTACTGTTGTGATGGTAGTCTATAATTCTGTCCATTGAAAGGCTGTATATTAAAAAAGAATATATGGCATTTTTTTTTTCCTTTTGTAGGACATAGCAAATGAAGAACATAAAAAAATTGAAGTGTTAAAATCAGAAAACAAGAAGCTAGAAAAACAAAAAGGAGAATTAATGATAGGGTTCAAGAAACAGTTAAAATTAATTGATGTTTTAAAAAGGCAAAAGGTGAGTCTGTCATTAAAGTTAAATCATCATATTATCTGTACCTTTCTTACTAAACAATTCAGCATTTTTCACTTTAGGTATGTTTAATTTTTGACATCTTTAGGCACTGAATTTCATATAAAATGCATTATTCATATGAAATCTAACATGTATAGTGAGATTTATGTATGTGTCATCTAAGCAAGTGGATATTTTCACATAAGTAAATTAGTGTAGAAAATGGGACTGGAAAATACAGTACAGGTATGTCTCAACTACAGAAAGTACCACATTAAAGAATGACTATTATCTTAGGGGACTGTTTGCCTCTTCAAACCTTAGAGTGAACATTGCTTCCAAACCACTGTTGCTGCTTTATCTAAAAATTCATAGTTCTGACACTTTCCTTCTTTGCAAAGGTCAGGTATTACAATATTATAGAATTATTATCTTAAAAATAAGTTGGTTCAATACTACTGTTAGACAAAAAGTATTCTATAGGTTGGTCCTTGAATGTAATTACTACCATTTCAAATATCATGCTTATTGGAATTAACAGTATACATTCCTACAACAGAACTTACATTCTGACAATATATTATCCACACATTTTTACAAACTTCCTGTTGTTTGGTGGCCTACTCTTAATACTAAATCAGACAATACTGATTTTTTTTTAACAGATGCATATTGAAGCTGCCAAGATGCTGTCTTTCACTGAGGAGGAATTTATGAAAGCACTTGAATGGGGAAATTCATAAGTGATCCCTACTTCAGTTAGTCTCTATGACAGTATGTGGTGGATACCCATTTTACTTATTGTAATGGTTTGAATTATTTTTACTCTTCATAAGTAATATAGTTGATTATGAAATCAAAATAATTTCAAAGAATTCCCTTTTTAGATTTGGGAGATATAAAACTGATGCATTATTCTAATATGTAAGTTATTAGAAAAAATTTTGTAAAATAAAGCAACAATTTAACTTTTGATTCTGCTATCTTATGACTTATTAGCTATTTTTGAGTTTGTTAAGTTCTTACTGAACGTGACAATTAAGCACATTAGATAATAAAATTCTTGACTCTTTTCATTTACAGTTCTCCTCCCTTGAAGTAGACCGAAAAAGATGCTTTAAAAGAAAATTCCAAATATTTATTTCCCTGGCTAAATCGAGTAAGGAAAGTTCCTAAATACAGAGAGAAGGCAGTTAGTTCACTTTGGGGTAGAGTTCTGTATTAGTCAAGGTACATACACTGTCTTGAGGATGGGGATGCAAACAATGCTCTGTAGTGTGGTAGAAATCGGATTTTCAAATTATCAGTACAAAAAATAACAGTTTGATTAAAATTAATTTTTATCTGATAATTGTTTACAAGTTATAAATTCAGTGATGACTTACAAAATCCAAATAGACAATGGATTCCTACTGCCGCTGAACTGTAAAACAAAAGTTATGCTGACATCTAGTGGTAACATACAAAAAATCTAGGGTTTACCCAATTTTGATGTTATCATTTGTCTTCACAAATTTCACTCCTTTGCTGATACACTTTCCTAAACTCTTCACCAAGCAGATCAATATCATCCTCTTTTTTAAATACTCCCTACAAGAAAAATATTTTGTGGGTTACTTTTGAATATCAGAATATTTCACTAAATGCTTTTAAGACTGACAAAGACATGAGGTTAGTAAAGTTATCGCCAAGGTAATGAAATCTGTTCAATAGATTAATGAAACTTTTAAAAAAAATCAACACTTTTCAACAAAATAAGACTTTACATATATATTGAATATTCCTAGACTGACGCAATTTTCTGATTTATCAGCTCTAGTGTAGGAGCTTGTCATATGAATCTGAGCTCTTCTCAAGTTCTACTGCTTGGATTACCTAGATAGGAAGGCATTTCATCTATAGTGTACCCTACCCTTTTCTTTAAGTAGCTCTATAATATGATATAAGGGTGAGCTTCGATAGATTCATGCATGGGATTAGTTCTTCATGTGTCAATTCTATGGCTAATCAGCAATCAATCAGTCTTGCAGAAAAGAATCCAGGTTTGGAGCTAAGCCATTTAAGCAAACCCTCTGGAATTCTTCACTGTTCTATTTTTCTTTTCCCCTATAGTATACTGCAAAGGGCTCTTTAAAACAAAATTAAATATTTACTTATCTTGCAATCTAAAGAATTTTAAGGATAACTGAGGTCATTTGGCGCCATTAGGATCTAAAGGATAAAGATCATTTTTGGATATCAAGTTTATTAATCACTCCTGCTGCCTCCACAATTATTTCCTCTACAAAAATATCACATCCCAAAGATATTCCTATAGTTTATAATTTATTTTATGAAATTTATTAATTACATATGGATTTTATCATTAATACATCATTTTGCATTCCTTAATCCTATGTAACCAATTAGACTATCAAAAGTCCTGTGGCCAGGCAATAATTACCTATATATTTATATATTTTTCCTTCCTTAGCACCAGACTGAATGTAAAATATGCACTTGATTCTACTGAATAAAATATGAAACGGCATTTCTATAGCTGAAAGATGGTGATCTTATTTGTATGAGTCTAGATGTTTATGTGTCCTATGAAACTGTTACTACTTTTTTAAGACAGGGTCTCACTCTGTTGCCCAGGCTGGAGTGCAGTGGCAAGATCATGGGTCACTGCAGCTTCAACTTTCCAGGCTCAAGCAATCCTCCAACCTCAGCCTCCAGAGTAGCTAGGACTACAGGCGTGTATCACCACATCCAGTTAACTTTTTATTTTGTGTAGTAATGGGATCTCCCTATGTTGCCCAGACTGGTCTTGAACTCCTGGGCTCAAGTGATCCTCCTGCCTCAGCCTCCCAAAGTGCTGGGATTATAGGCATGCGTCACCATGCCCAGCCAGTTACTATTTTATTTGAAGTCACAGTGTGTCTCAGGTATACATTAAAATTCACTATCTTCTGGAATTTTAAAAATCAAGTTTAGCTAGTTACAACTTCCTACTATAGAGCAGATCTGTCTCAAACTCGGTTCAAGCATGTTCCTATTACTGGTGTTACCAATGACAATGTTTTCATACACATTCTCAGCTTTGGCGTATAAGTACCACAGTTGTTGTAGGGTAGCTTTAGGTTTCATATACTAAAAGGGAAGAAAAGAACCTCTAAAATACAAACTCATGCCATGTGTGGTGGCTCATGCCATGTGTGGTGGCCCACACCTGTAATCCCAGCACTTTGGGAGGCCGAGGCGGATGGATCACCTGAGGCCAACAGTTTAAGACCAACCTGGCCAACATGGCGAAACCCTGTCTTTACTAAAAATACAAAAATTAGCTGGGTGTGGTGGCAAACGCCTGTAATCCCAGCTACTCAGGAGGCTGAAGCAAGAGAATCACTTGAACCTGGGAGGCGGAGATTGCAGTAAGCTGACATTCTGCCACTGCACTCCAGCCTGGGTGATAAATAAAGTACAAATTCAGTAAATCAAGCTCATACCTCTAATAATGTGCCAAGACCAATCATTGTAGATATACTGAAATGGGCCCAGAGAGGTTCAGTGCCTGGACAGGATCCCATCACTGCTTCATAACCGAGCAAGAAGTGAGCAAAATCTAGGCACTCTAAATTCCAAATACCATGTTTTTTTCATTATTAAAGGTCATGAAGATTACAGCTTGAGATAAATCTCACTTACTTTAGGGAGATAGCCTAGTAAGTTTGTAGCATGCTCTTTGAGAAGTTTTAGCCTTTCTTCTTCAATAATTGCATTAATAAATCCTTGCCGCCTTTGCTGCAACTGCCACTCTTCTAGTTCCTGTTGCTGGAAATGCAGATCAAATTTTGTTATCACAAAGTACATTAATCTTATACGAAGTTTTCAAATAAAACTACTCATGCAATGAATTAGATAAAATTGATGAACTATTTATGACACTAAGTTCAAAAGATTCTAGATAATATATATTTTATGTCTGTACACATACCTGTAGTCTGTACACATTTTTTACTATCATTATTCCTTTAAAATTACAAGGAGGCAAACAAATATTTTCAGGAAAGTGTCTTCATTACCAAGGGAAAAAATATTCAAAGGAGTGACTGCCTGACACAGTAAATATTTACTGAATGCTTACCATATGCCAGATGCTGAAGAGTTTTCAGTGTAAAACAAAAAGTGAATAAAGAAGATCAGAAATATCTAAAAGATATGAAATATATATTTAAAATATATATATATTTTTAAAATATTTTAAAAATTTTAAAAATATATATATATTTTAAAAATATATATAATATATATATATACATTTTAAAAGATATGAAGCATGAGAATTCCACTAGTATTTCTTAGGAAAGAGCTCTTGAATACTCGTAATCACATCAAAATTCTGGGCCATACAGAAAAGATGACTTGAACTACGTGAAAGAACAGTAATCTACTAAGCCACTGTTAATTTGAGACTGTACTTGCATTCAAACCTAATTCTATCTTAATTCACCCATTCCTTATAAAGAGGAGATACAGGAAAGTTCTGTAATGTTACAGGGGAAAGTAAACTTGATAGATTTTTGTCCAATGGTAGAGTCTAATTTGGGCTAATGCAGGATTTCCTAAGAAGGATCTGGTAGGCCACATTCAATGTTTATCCTAAAAATTAAATAGTTTAGGTAGTTATGAAATCAACGTATCCATTTAGGACAAATTCTGAATAGCTTTGGTGGTAGGAAACTACCTCCTGGGAAGTTTCAGATTTTGTCTGACCATATGATTTTTGTAGAGGTAGACAGAATTATAGATACCTATTTAGGAATATCTCTGAAATCCAGAAAACATAGTTAGACCTTATAGGATTGTATAATGGTGTTAATGAGTTTCATCATGAAGATCTGTCCTTGCCTTGCGGGCAGAACAAAAATGCTGCCCAATCGAACTGACAAAACTAAGCCGACAGCTTCATATTGGGAACATTTATAAGTCTTTAAAAATTAAGACATAAATTATTTGTATAAGTGTCTATGCATTAGGTGACTTTATCTGATTTCCATTTAGTTTTTAGTCTGATTTCTAGTTAGTTGTCTTGCTAATTTTTCCAGGAGCTTTCTCCTATCCAAATTACTAACCAGGCCTGATTTCTGCTTAGCTTCTGAGAACAGATGAGCTCCAATATGAAATATAACAGCACTTGTATTCCCATAAATTTCTCATATTTGAAACATTTGCATTATTTTGACTCCTACTTTGTATAGTTTTAAAAGAAGTCATGTAAGTCTCACTGAGTCTTCCTTTTAAAAGTAAATTCTTCTCTTCCTACCAGTTTTCAAAACACCTACATATTATCCATTTGGTTCTTAAACCACGAAAATCCAGTGAGAGAATATAAGTATTTAGTTTTACGGATGAGACATAAATCAATGTGTCCAAAGCCAAAAACTTAATTCCCTCTCCAACACTTAAATCTGCATTTCCAACTAGTAATCTTCCCCTGGGCCACCCAAATCATTTTGGGTGGACAAAATAGAATTATTTGCCCCCTCAAAATCATTTCTTTTCCTCTATACTCTTTCCTTAGGATATCACCCAGTCACCCATTAAAGACGGTAGTAATACATGGACACAGGGAGAGGAACATCACACTGTGGGCCTGTCGGGGGGTAGGGGAGGATAAGGGGAAGGGAGAGCATTAGGACAAATACCTAATGCATACAAGGCTTAAAACCTAGATGACAGGTTGACAGGTGCAGCAAACCACCATGGCACGTGTATACCTGTGTAACAAACCTGCATGTTCTGCACATGCATCCTGGAACTTAAAATAATCAAAAATAATTAAAAAGATGGAATGACAGTATTATTTATTAGTAGTATCCTTAAGTCTTCTCTCACCTCTCTAGATCTCACTGGTCACCAAGCCCCATCAATTCCATATCCTTAATATCTCTTGGGTGGATCCCCTCTCCATTTGCATGGGTTTCACCAGTTGTCACTGGGATTATTATAATAACTTACTTACTGATCTTCCTATCTCCAAGCTTACTCATCTCTTATCTACCTTCAATGCTCTCACTTGAATTGTCTTTCAAAGTGCAGATCTTAACATACAGCTTTCCAATCTTCAGTGGCTTCCCTTAGAAAAGCCCACCTTCTTAAAATAGCATGCAGGGTGTTCATGATCTGTTTCTCTCTCTGCCATACCAAAACATCCATAGCTCTGTAACCTATTATCACATGTACATGACATATTTATAATTACTTTTTATATATTTTTCTTAACCAAGACCATATATTCATGGGTGACATGGACTTAGTTTTATTTACCTTTCATGTTCTCAATACCAACCAGTGTTTAGCACATAGAAAGCATCAATAAATATTTTCTAGTAGCAAAAATGGTCAGAAAATTTATATATATATTAGTAAACATACTAACATTGTCTGGCATATAAAGCTTCTCAGTAAATGTTTAGTGGATGATACATGAGCTAATTGCTGTTTAATGATAACGACCAAAAAAACCCCACAAGTTTTTCTTACTTTGTCTGCAAGGAATTGTTGGCGACGTTCTTCAATAAGTTTTTCCACAGCTCTCCTGTGTTCCAGCTGCTTCATTCTTTGTTTCTGAGCATTCATTAATTCTATCCGATCATCCTCAGCAAATTTAGCTAGCATAGTTTTTCTAAAGTTCTCCTCTTCCTCTTTTGCAGCCTGTAGTACTAATTCCTTCAAGGCCATTTGTTCTTCAAAATCTTGCTTCATCTCTTTTTGCTTTCTCAGTTTCTTTTCTGCTTCTTCCTAAACAACAATACAGCTAAAAGTTAATTTAATAACTCTTTGCTTACACCAGATTTATAAGGGAAGAGTGATAGAGTTTGGTTAAATTAGTATTGGTTAAATTTAGTATTACAAACTGAGAAAGTTATAAGGCTTTTCATGATAACACATTGTCCATCCCTTTAAAACTAGCTGGATAAAGAATATGTTTACCTTTGGATTGTTTTCTGCTACTCATGAATAAATTTTATATTTACCATCTTGTTTCTCAACTCAGTTTTAACACATAACTGCTTTGAAAAAAGCTGTTACAGAAGCTTTTTTTGCACACCTGAGTTTATTCATCTGAAGTCTATGGTAACTATGAATCATTCTAGATTCTTGATTATAAAAGCTGTCCAAACCACCCATAAGTATTTTTCAGTTTCCAACGTCCTCCTCAAAATCAAAACTGCACTTACCCGTCTCTAGTTTTCTAATATTCCCTTCATTCTCCAAAATTCTCTAAAATTTAAAAACAATTCTCTATCAATGACAATCAGTACTTCTTTAGGGAAATTCAAATATAGTTGGAGCAGTTAAGTCCTTTCCTATAAGCTTTTATTTTCTGAACATTTTATTATGAAAAATTTCATACATACTAAAAAATATAATTTTACAATGGTCACTCACTTCTAAATAATTCATGGGCCAAAGAGGGAAAGCCAAGGAAAATAAATACATTGTAGTTAATAAAAATGAGATAGCAAAATTTGTGAGATGCTGCTAAAGCAGTTCTGAGAGACGTTTATAGCACTAAATGCATACATTTAGGAAAAGGTATATGTAGCACTAAATGCATGTATGTAGGAAAAGTCTCAAATCAATAATCTAAGCCCCCACTTCAAGAACCTATAAAAAGAACTGTAAACTGAAAATAAGCAGAAGGAAGAAAATAATAAAGAAAACTGTAGAAATCAATGGAATTAAAAATAGAAAATAGACAATTATCAGTGAAACAAAAGGCTGGTTCTTAAAAAAATCAGTGAAATGGACAGACCTTTAACAAGGCTGACCAAGAAAAAAAAATTAATGAATAAACAAATTACCAATATCAGGAATAAAACATGGGATATCACTAGAGATCCTACAGACAACAAAAGGATAATACAGGAATACTACAAATTATTATACACACATAAATTTGACAACTTAGACGAAATGGATCACTTCCTTGAGAAACACAAGCTACCAAAACTCACCAAATATGAAATAAGGTAATTTGAATAGTCTTATCACTATTAAGGAGATTGAATTAATAACTTGAAATTCCCCCAAAATAAAACCCCAAGTCAGGATGGTTTCACTGGAAAATTCTATCAAATGTTTAACACCAATTCTACACAATCTCTTCCAGAAAACTGAAGAGGAGGAAACATTTCCCCATTAATTTTAGGAAGACAGTATTACCCTGCAACCAATATAAAAAATTACAGACCAATATTCCTCATGAATATGGATGCACAAATCCTTAACCCAATATTAGAAAATAGATCATCCATTAAAAGAATTATTCACCATGACCAAGCAGTGTTTATTACAGGGATGCAAGGCTGGTTCAATACTCAAAAATCAATCAATGTAACATACTAGGTTAAAGAAGAAAAAGTATATAATTGTATCAGTAGAAAAAAGCATTTAACAAAATTTAACACTCCTTCATGATAAGAAGCCCTCAGAGAAACAGGTATAGAAGAGAACTTCCTCAACTTGATAAAGAACACCTACAAAAAACCTATAATTAACATTATACTTAATGGTTAAAAACTTAATGCTTCCCCCTAAGATCAGCAACAAGGAAAGGTGATGTCTACTCTCATCACTCTTCTTCAACATAGCTCTAGCCAGTGGTGCTGGAAATTTTAGCCAGCATGTAAGGTAAGGAAAGGAAATAAAAATATACAGATCAAAAAGGAAGAAACAGCCTGTACCTCTGGGCAGAAGACATGCCTGACCATGTAGGGAAAAAAATTCCTACAGCTAACAAGTGAATTCAGCAAGGTTGTAAGATACAAGATAAACACAAAAATATCAATTCACTAGCAATGAGTACACGGACACCAAAATAAAAGCTAACATTCCATTTATAATCGCTCAAAAAATGAAATACTCAGATGTGACCAAACACATACAGGATTTGTATGCTGAAACTAGAGAATCCTGATGAAAAAAATTCAAAGATCTAAATAAAGGGAGAGCCAAATTGTGTTCATGAATTTAATATAGTGAATTTATCAATTCTCCCCAAACTGATATTCATATTTAATTCAATTCCTATCAAAATCCCAGCAAAAATTATTTACAGAGATTCTTCAAAAATTCATATGGAAAGGCAAAAGAACTAGAATAGCAAAAAAAAAATTTTAAGACTTGCCGTACAGCTGCAGTATTCAGAACTGTGTAGTATTGGTGGAGGGATGGATACATAGGACCAACAGAACAAAATAGAGACCACAGGAATAGACCCATACAAACATGCCAGCTGTGTTTTAAGAAAGGTGCAAAAGCAATTCAACGTTGGAGAAACAGCCACTTCAACAAATGGTGTGGAACAATTGGACTAAATCCAATGGCAAAAACCGTATTTGACTTAAGTCTCATAGTTTGCACCAAAAATTAAAACACATCACAGACTGAAATGTAAAATGGAAAAGCAAACACACACACAACAAAACACAAAAACAAAAACAAAAAACTTTTAGGAAAAAGAAGGAGAAATTCTTCAAGAACTAGGCAAAGAGTTTCTAGAGTTGACACCAAAGGCATGATCCATAAAAAGAAAAACTGATAAAGTGAACTTCATAGAAATGGAAAACATTTGCTCTAAGAAAAACCATGCTCTAAGATCACGTTAAAAGGATGAGAAGACAAAGCTACAAAGTAGGAGAAAATATTTGCAAACCACCCACCTGACAAAGGACTAGTATCTAGAATATATGAAGAACTCTCAAAACCCAACAATAAATGGACAAACAACCCAATTAGAGAATCAGCAAAAGACACGAAGAACTATTTCACCAAAGGGGATCTTACACCGAAGAGGATGGCAGATAAGCACATGAAAAGACGTTCAGCATCATTAGCCATCAGGGAAATGCAAAATAAAACTACAAGATATCACTACATGGATATTTAAAAGTGGCTATAATAAAAAATTGTTGAGCTTCTGAGGACAGAGGAGGAAAAAAATTAAAAAATAAACGGTGGCAACACCAAATGCTGGTGAGAATGCAGACAGACTGGGTAACTCACACATTTCTGATGGGAATGTTAAATGCTACAGCTGTTCTGGAAATCACTTTGGTAGTCTGTTACACAGCTGACATGCAATTACCACAAAACCCAGCTAATACATTCTTCAGCATTTATTGCAGAGAAATGAAAGTTGATGTTTATACAAAAAGCTTTACCTCAATGTTCACAGCAGTTTACTCATCAGAGCTAAATACTGGAAGCATTCCAAATGCCCTTTAATGGTCAAATAAAATGGTACATACATACCAATGGAATGTTACTCAGCAATAAAAACTAACAAATGATCAATACAAGCAACTTGGATGAATTTCCAGGAAATTATGCTGAATAAAAATGCCAACTCGAAAAAGTTACATACTGTTTGATATCATTTATATAACATTCTTGAGGCACATACTTTTTAATTTATAATTAAAGGCTTATCCATGTTTTAGCATGATCAGTCTGTCATTCTTTTAATAGCTGAATAACATTTTATTACATGGATATACTGTATTTTGTTTATCCATTCATCAGACATTTGGGTTATTTCTACTTTTGGGTTATTTCTACTTTTAGACTATTATGAATAATGCTGCATAAACATTTCTGTGTAAGTGGGTAGACATAGGCTCATTAATTTTTAACCATTCTTTTTTCTAATACATGCATTTAAAGATAGAAACTTTCCTCGAAGCACTGCATTAACTGCACGTCACATATTTTGATATGCTGTTTTTTAAATAATTTAGTTTGAAATATTTTTCTAATTTCCAATATGATTTATTCCCCTTTTCTTATTGCTTATTTAGAAATATATTGTTTAATTATAATATATTTAAGGATTCTGCAGGTATATTTTCATTACTGATTTTTAATTTCATTCCACTGTTGTCAGAAAACATATCTGGTATTATGTAAAACCTTGAAAATTTATTGAGACTTCCTTTATGTCCTAGAATATGATCTATCTTGGTGAATGTTCCATGTTTGAATGGAATTTGTATTCTGCTGTTGTTGGGTGGAGTATTCTCTAAATGTCAGGTCAAATTTATTGATACTGCTTTCAACACTATATCCTGCGGTTCTGACTACTTAGTCTATAGATTAATGAGAACTATGCATTGAAATACCATTCTGGACATAGGACCTGGCAAAGATTTCATGATGAAGACTCGAAAAGCAATTGTAACAAAAACAAAAACTGACAAGTGGGACCTAGTTAAACTAAAGAGTTTCTTCACAGGAAATAAAGTTATCAACAGACTAAACATACAACCTACAGAATGGGAGAAAATATTTGTAAAGTATGCATCTGACAAAGGTCTAATATCCATAATCTCTAAGGAATGTAAACAAATTAACGACCCTATTTAAAAAATAGGCTGGCCAGGTGTGGTGGCTCCCACCTGTAATCCCAGCACTTTGGGAGCCCAAGGCAGGTGGATCATGAGGTCAGGAGATTGAGACCATCCTGGCTAACACGGTGAAATGCCATCTCTACTGAAAATACAAAAGAAAAAATTAGCTGGGCATGGTGGTGGGTGCCCGTAGTCCCAGGAATGGCATGAACCCGAGAGGCGGAGCTTGCAATGAGCCGAGATCACGCCACTGCACTCCAATCTGGGCGACAGAGTGAGACTCTGTCTAAAAAAAAATAATAAAATAAATTAAAAAATAAAGAATAGGCTAAGGACATAAACAGACACCTCTCAAAAGATGATATATATGTAGCCAACAAGCATATGAAAAAGTGATATTAAATGCTTAATATCACTAATCATTAGAGAAATGCAAACCAAAACCACAATGAGACACTATCTCACATCAGTCAGAATGGCTATTAAAAAGTCACAAAATAATGGATGCTGGCAAGGTTGTGGAGAAAAAGGAATGCTTATATACTGTTGGTGGGAATGTAAACTAATTCAACCACTGTAAAAAGCAGTGTGGTGACTCCTCAAATAATGGAAACAATTAACATTTGACCCAGCAATCCCATTGCTGGGTATATACCCAAAGGAATATAAATCATTCTACCATAATGACACATGCATGTGTGTATTTATAGCAGCACTATTCACAATAGCAAAGATATGGAATCCACCTAGATACCCATCAATGGTGGACTGGATAAAGAAAATGTACATATACACCACAGAATACTACACAGCCATAAAAAAGAACAAAATCACATCCTTTGCATCAACATGGATGGAGCTGGAGGCCATTAGCCTATGCTTATTAATGCAGGGATAGAAAACCAAATACTACATGTCTTCACATGTAAGTAGGAGCTAAATATTGAGTACACATGAACACAAAGAAGAAAAACAGACACTGGGGCCTACTTGAGGGTGGAGATGGGAAGAGGGTGAGGATCAATAAACTACCTATCAAGTACTATGCTCATTACTTGGGTGACAAAATAATGTTACACCAAACCCCCATGACACACAAATTTATCCCTGTAACAAACCAGCACATGTACCTCCTGAACCTAAAGTAAAAGTTGGAAAGAAAAAAAGAAAAAAAAATCTTGGAACTCTGATTGTGGATTTGCCTATTTCTCCTTTCAGTTTTTCTTCATGTATTGTGAAGCTTTATTATTTAGGTTCACACGCCTTTAGGACTATTACATCTTCTAGATGAATTTACTGTATTATCATGAATTGCTTGTCCTCAAGTTGACTTTGTCTCATATTAACATAGCAACGCCAACCTGCTTTTGACTAACGTCTGTATGTTATATATCTTTCACCATCCTTTTGCTTTTAAACTATGTGTCTTGATATTTAAGTTATGATTAGACAACATAGTTGCATCATGCTTTTTATAATAGTTTATAAATTGATGCCTGAGTCTATCTTTTTAGCCAGCTTGAAAATTTCTGTCTTTTAACTGTAGTATACCATTTACATATAATGTAATTACCAGTATGGTTGGATTTAAATGTACTATTTCTCTTCTGCTTCATCTCAAAATTATATTCTTCTTTATGTTAATCATTCTTTCCATTTCTGAAACTTACTTTTAGCTTCCTCTTATATATTTCAGCTTGTTCTTCCTGGTATAATTCTTGTTGCACTTGTTCCAAATCTTCACGTTGCCGCAGCATTTCTTCTAATTTCTGTGTCAACTATTAAATTTTTTAAAAAACATAAATATTTATAGGACCCAAATTCTGTAACTAATATTTCAGAATTTAGTAGTGTTAAAGAAGTGGTTATTTTAATACCGCATTCTGAAGCTGTAGCCTTTTCTCCTCATTTTCTTGAACTTTTGCCATCCGATCTTCTTCTCTTTGCTGCTGCATGTTAGCAAACTCTATGATTTTTCTGTTTTCTTCTTCCATCTCCTCACGTTTCTTTTTTCTCCAGAGAGCCTGCTCTTTCTGAAACTCTTCTATATACCTTCGCATTGCATTCATTTTTTCTAACTTTTGTTGTTTTTCCCTGAAAAGCAGTTACAAGTACGGATTTAACATAAACAATAAAATATAAAAAAGTAATTTCATTTTGTTCATAATAATGTACAGAAAAACACTATAGTTTTTTTCATTCGTGCATGCAACAAACATTTTGAATGCTTACTATGTGCTAAATATAATGCCAGGTATGAATTTTTCTTTGGGTAAAATACTGTGATAGTCTCCTCTAACCTATTAATGAAGTTTTATGCATCTTATTTCATAAATGCTACAAACATTAGCTTTGCAGCACTCTATATTTAAGCTGTCTACCAAAAAAATTCATCAGAATACATGTCCTCTGACATATGATATGGGCATATATAAGAAAAACAAAGGTTTAGGTCATTCAATCACAAGCATTTATTAATCATCAGATAATTCATTTATTAATCATGCTAACAGAGATGACAATGAGTTGGTCCCAATTTATGTGTTCATAACTAATATTTATTGAGCACTTACTATGTATTAGGCACTGTTCTAGGTGTTTCAGTTCCTCACAACAAACCTACGATCAATCTAAAGTGAACATTTAGGCATGTAAGAAAGTTAGGATAAACTTACAACCGATCTTCTTCATAGATCTTCCTAACAATTTCATCAATCATGAGTTTCTCTTTTAGCAACTGCTCATAAGCTTCCTGCTTTTTTTTTTCTTGTTCTTCAAGTTGTTTCTCTAAGTCAAGATAGTATTGTGCTTTCACTTTGTTTCGTTTGTCTTCTGCGGCATTCTCTTCCTTTATTATTCTCTTGTGTTCTTCCATCATGGTTTTGGCTATTTCAGCATCACGTTTCTGTTATTCAAACAAAATTGATCTTTCCATTTTCAAATCTGAACATAGTATGATAGTATAATTTACACCAATGTTATTGAATATTATAAAGTCTTTTACATAAATTTTTTCATCTGTCTAGGTTAAAAAGCAAAAGTAAGTTATTATTACCTGCAGAGTGTGAATAATGAGTCAGACCCTAAAGAAGCTTTCCTCTCCTTTCAAGTAGCTCTCCCAGGACAATACCTGATAAGGATTATTAATAACTCCACATTCAAAAAACAATGAATAAAATTATAAGTACTTTCTTAATAACTGTTTAGCTGCTAAAGCAGTCATTATCTTATTATTCTATTTATAAACTGAGCTAGGCAATTTTCATCATTTTTAGCTTCATTGTTTATCAGCTGCTATTTAAAGATGGTACTACCTCTTTCTTACAGGTCTGCTATTAAATGGCTTTGAGCAGCTCCTAGCCTAAACTTTCTTTCCTGCCATTGGCCCTTGATGTTTCCTCTTTCTGATTTATTAAAGGCCCTTTATCTGAAAAGAATCACAGATGCTATTATGTGTATTTTCTGCAGCTTTTGATTCACTCAAGACCATTCCCATTGTCAAGAGACAGTCTTTCTTCTTGGATGGGTTAAATCCCTTATTTCTTTTGAGCATTTTTCAAATCATTTAATAAAATAAGTTTTAAATGAAATATATTGAGGCAATTTTTTAAACTACGCTTTACTTTTATGATCACATCCCAAATGATGGAATGGTCAGCAGCATCAAACATAAAGAGTAAACAGATTAAAATATGAATACTGAATGTCATTCCTGACATGACTGAAGCCTTTAACATATACTCTGATAATATGACTTGACCAAAAATTGTTCTGATTATCTTCTTTGTACATGCTCTACTAAATTCTTTCTTAAAAAACGAGATGACAATAACATTTATGTGTAGATTACCACACACTTACAGAAAACAATGTTCTCATATTACAGATAAGAAAACCAAGGCTCAGAGAAAAAGCCAAAACTAGTACTTACATGACACCTTGTCAAGTCCTAAAAGTATTTGACTTTGATTTTGTGGATCGATTTTTATTTGGAAAATAGCAATTCTCTTAGGAGTCAGATTAAAACGTCTACAACTACCTTGAATAACCTCAACTATCAGGATAATTAAAACTGCAAACCACTGGACAAACAGGATATTGTTTGTGCTACTTTCTTTTTCAAAGGACAGAACTATATGTCTTAGCAAATGAAGTCTCTCCACCTTCTCTTATCACCTGCCACACCTAAAGGTATTGCTGTTAACAGCATGCTGTGTACCCGCTAGACATTTTCTATACTAACACAATTGTACACACACACCACACACATATATGTGTCATTTATGGCATCTATTCTTAATTGATACCCATATTGCACTGCACTGGTTAAGTATTTTGATATCACCCCTATAAGAGTGTCTGTGTGTATGTACATATGTTTATGTGGACATACACAATAGATATGTATGTGTATATATACATTCATATATAATTGTCCGGCTCTTCTGTTTGATAATGAGAGCTCATGGGATGATGTGGACCCTTTTAATTAACTGTTAATTCAGTAAACCCTATTTTATATTCATACAGCGTAACACTCCTAGTGAGTATGCCTGAGATTCCTTTGTCCAAGAGTAACTCTTATCTTCAACTTGGTACCCTATCAGGAGTTAGAAAAGGGGATAAAAGCAAAGAGAAACACGAGAAAAAGAGACAGCTTTTATAAAACAGGAAAGTTTCCTACATAAAATTATCAAGTACTTTACTCTTAAAAAACACATTTAAAAAATTAAAAATTTCATAACATTCTAAAATATACTTATCGTGCTAACAATCTGTACTGTACTAGTTTGTCAATGAATAATCAGAGACTGTAAAGAATGCTGGGAGTTACTGAATATAGCTGGTCATTCTAAGCAGCAACCTGTGCTTCTGAAAGGCTCTAATACTAAAAATGAAATCACCCAGGATTTTCTACATCTTAAGGATCTGAAAATTTACAAATATTTAAGAAATCTAGCAATGTAAATTCTTTACACAATATGACAATTTTTTAAGGAACAAGTCTAATTTTTATTTTCTAAATGAAGCTAAAAACAATGACCAGAAACCTGATTACCATTTGTTCATATTTAATGGCATCCTTTTCAGCAATCTGAGCTGCCCTTTCTTTATTCATGTAAGCTGCTTTTAATTTCTTCTCCAATTCTCTGAGCTCAATGCTGTTTAAAAAAACAAAAACAAATTTAACTGTTAGGACCATAAGAAAATGAAAACCTCACAGAAAACTGAGTGACTGTGTTTTTAATTTACTCAGAGGGAATACAGCGGGTTATTATTTTACATCCATAGGAGAGATCATTCATTATATTTAATGGAAGTCGTTAGGGCATGAGGGCTTACATTTTCTGGTTGAAAAGGACTGCTGTGTTCTACTACATTTATCTGTTTGCTTATCCTGTGTCAATACCACACTATCTCAACTACCGTAAATTATAATACATCTTCATATTTTGGATAAGTCTCCAATTTTTGTCATCTTCTTAAAGACTGTCTTAGCCATTCTTGATACTTTCATTTCCATATACATTTTAGAATCAGCTTGTCAGACTTCACAATAAACAAAACTGGCTGTGATTGTACTGAATTCTTAAATTGATTTGGAAAGTACTAATATCTTTACATTACTGAGTCTTCAATGAACATAGTGTATCCTTCTAATTATTTGGTTTTTTAAAAGTCTATCAATGTTTTATATCTGTGTTTTATTTTGGTAGTTTTATACTTTTCATTAGGTATTTTTCATATTCTTGTACAGATTTTTCAAATCTCATTTTCTAAATGTTGATAATTTACAGAAATACAATGTTTATATACTAACTTTATACCCAACATCACTGAATTTTTTAGTTTTCAGTTTTATTGATGTACAGTATTCAATAAACTGAACATGTTTAAAGGATACAGTTTGTTAAATTTTGACGTATGTATGCACCTGTGAAACCATCACCACAATCAAGATCATGAACACATTCCAATCATTTCCTTATAAACCTGTGGTACCTCTCTTCTACCCCTTTATGTTTGTACTTATCCTGAGGCAAGCTAATTTGCTGTCACTTTAGGCATTATGAATTTTCTAGAATTCATATACATGGAATCATACTGCAGGTACCATTTTTTCTCTGGCTTCTTTCACTCAGTATTTTCAAATACATCCATTTATTGTATATAGTAATTGCTTACTCCTTTTTATTGCAGGATATTATTTTAGATTATCGATATCCACTCACATGCTTATCTATTCGCATGCTGACAGACATTTGAGTTCTTTCAAGTATGTGGATATTGCAAATAAAGCTGCTATGGAAATCTGAGTACCAGTTATTTGTGGTCATAGGCTTTCATTTCTCTTGGATAAATACCTAGGGGTGGAATGATCAGGTCATACAGTAGATGCATGTTCAGCTTTTTAAGAAGCTGCCAAACTGTCTACTAAAGTGGTTTTTAAGTTTTTATTGCAACTTTTAGATACTGGGGGTACCTGTGCAGATTTGTTACATGGGAATATTGTGTGATACTGAGGTTTGGAGTACAGCTCCTGTCACCCAGGTAGTGAGCACAGAATCAAATGGGTTGTTTTTTAACCCACTCCTCCTCCACCCTCTCGTAGTCCACAGTGTCTGTTGTTCCCATATATGTCTATGTGTAATCAATGTTTAGCTCCCACCTATAAGTGAGAATATGCAGTATTTGGTTTTCTGTTAGTTCATTAATTTGCTTAGGATAACGGCCTCCAGCTCCATCCATGTTTCTGCAAGGGACATAATTTCATTCTTTTTATGGTTGTAGAGTATTCCATGGTATATATGTACCACATTTTCTTCATCCAATTTCCTACTGATGGGCAACTGGATTGATTCCATGTCTTTGCTATTATGAATAGCACAGCAGTAAACATATAAGTGCATATGCTTTTTTGGTAGAATGATTTATTAATTCTTACTTATTTTTAGATTCTTTCTTTTTGTGTGTGTGTGGAGACGGTGTCTTGCTCTGTCACTCAGGCTGGAGTGCAGTGGTGTGATCTCAGCTCACTGCAAGCTCCGCCACCCAGGTTCACACGATTATCCTGTCTCAGCTCGGGACCACAGTTGTGTGCCACCACACCCAGTTAATTTTTTGTGTTTTGAGTACAGATGGAGTTACACCATGTTGGCTAGGCTGGTTTCAAACTCCTAACCTCAGGTGATCCACCCGCCTTGGCCTTGCAAAGTGCTGGGACTACAGGCATGAGCCATCCGGCTATTTGTAGATGCTTTGGGATTTTCTACACATATAATCATATCATCTGTGAATAATTAAAGTTTTATTCCTTTAATGCCAATCCTGGCACCTGTCTTTGCTTTTTCTTGCCCTACTGCACTGATTAGTATGTATAACACAAAGATGACTAGAAGTTGTCAGAGCAGGCATCCCTGTCTTCTTTTCTTTTTTTTTTTTTTTTTTTTTTTTTTTTTTGAATTTTATTTTTATTTTTTTTTTTTTTTATTTATTATTATTATACTTTAAGTTGTAGGGTACATGTGCATAACGTGCAGGTTTGTTACATATGTATACTTGTGCCTTGTTGCTGTGCTGCACCCATCAACTCGTCATTTACATCAGGTATAACTCCCAATGCCATCCCTCCCCCCTCCCCCCTCCCCCCTCCCCATGATAGGCCCCGGTGTGTGATGTTCCCCTTCCTGAGTCCAAGTGATCTCATTGTTCAGTTCCCACCTATGAGTGAGAACATGCGGTGTTTGGTTTTCTGTTCTTGTGATAGTTTGCTAAGAATGATGGTTTCCAGCTGCATCCATGTCCCTACAAAGGACACAAACTCATCCTTTTTGATGGCTGCATAGTATTCCATGGTGTATATGTGCCACATTTTCTTAATCCAATCTGTCACTGATGGACATTTGGGTTGATTCCAAGTCTTTGCTATTGTGAATAGTGCCGCAATAAACATACGTGTGCATGTGTCTTTATAGCAGCATAATTTATAATCCTTTGGGTATATACCCAGTAATGGGATGGCTGGGTCATATGGTACATCTAGTTCTAGATCCTTGAGGAATCGCCATACTGTTTTCCATAATGGTTGAACTAGTTTACAATCCCACCAACAGTGTAAAAGTGTTCCTATTTCTCCACATCCTCTCCAGCACCTGTTGTTTCCTGACTTTTTAATGATCGCCATTCTAACTGGTGTGAGATGGTATCTCATTGTGGTTTTGATTTGCATTTCTCTGATGGCCAGTGATGATGAGCATTTTTTCATGTGTCTGTTGGCTGTATGAATGTCTTCTTTTGAGAAATGTCTGTTCATATCCTTTGCCCACTTTTTGATGGGGTTGTTTGTTTTTTTCTTGTAAATTTGTTTGAGTTCTTTGTAGGTTCTGGATATTAGCCCTTTGTCAGATGAGTAGATTGCAAAAATTTTCTCCCATTCTGTAGGTTGCCTGTTCACTCTGATGGTAGTTTCTTTTGCTGTGCAGAAGCTCTTTAGTTTAATGAGGTCCCATTTGTCAATTTTTGCTTTTGCTGCCGTTGCTTTTGGTGTTTTAGACATGAAGTCTTTGCCCATGCCTATGTCCTGAATGGTACTACCTAGGTTTTCCTCTAGGATTTTTATGGTATTAGGTCTAACATTTAAGTCTCTAATCCATCTTGAATTAATTTTCGTATAAGGAGTAAGGAAAGGATCCAGTTTCAGCTTTCTACTTACGGCTAGCCAATTTTCCCAGCACCATTTATTAAATAGGGAATCCTTTCCCCATTTCTTGTTTCTCTCAGGTTTGTCAAAGATCAGATTGCTGTAGATGTGTGGTATTATTTCTGAGGACTCTGTTCTGTTCCATTGGTCTATATCTCTGTTTTGGTACCAGTACCATGCTGTTTTGGTTACTGTAGCTTTGTAGTATAGTTTGAAGTCAGGTAGCGTGATGCCTCCAGCTTTGTTCTTTTGACTTAGGATTGTCTTGGAGATGCGGGCTCTTTTTTGGTTCCATATGAACTTTAAAGCAGTTTTTTCCAATTCCGTGAAGAAACTCGTTGGTAGCTTGATGGGGATGGCATTGAATCTATAAATAACCTTGGGCAGTATGGCCATTTTCACGATATTGATTCTTCCTATCCATGAGCATGGTATGTTCTTCCATTTGTTTGTGTCCTCTTTGATTTCACTGAGCAGTGGTTTGTAGTTCTCCTTGAAGAGGTCCTTTACATCCCTTGTAAGTTGGATTCCTAGGTATTTTATTCTCTTTGAAGCAATTGTGAATGGAAGTTCATTCCTGATTTGGCTCTCTGTTTGTCTGTTACTGGTGTATAAGAATGCTTGTGATTTTTGCACATTAATTTTGTATCCTGAGACTTTGCTGAAATTGCTTATCAGCTTAAGGAGATTTTGGGCTGAGACAATGGGGTTTTCTAAATATACAATCATGTCATCTGCAAAGAGGGACAATTTGACTTCTTCTTTTCCTAACTGAATACCCTTGATTTCTTTCTCTTGCCTAATTGCCCTAGCCAGAACTTCCAACACTATGTTGAATAGGAGTGGTGAGAGAGGGCATCCCTGTCTTGTGCCAGTTTTCAAAGGGAATTTTTCCAGTTTTTGCCCATTCAGTATGATATTGGCTGTGGGTTTGTCATAGATAGCTCTTATTATTTTGAGGTACGTTCCATCAATACCGAATTTATTGAGCGTTTTTAGCATGAAGGGCTGTTGAATTTTGTCAAAAGCCTTTTCTGCATCTATTGAGATAATCATGTGGTTCTTGTCTTTGGTTCTGTTTATATGCTGGATTATGTTTATTGATTTGCGAATGTTGAACCAGCCTTGCATCCCAGGGATGAAGCCCACTTGATCATGGTGGATAAGCTTTTTGATGTGTTGCTGAACCCGGTTTGCCAGTATTTTATTGAGGATTTTTGCATCGATGTTCATCAGGGATATTGGTCTAAAATTCTCTTTTTTTGTTGTGTCTCTGCCAGGCTTTGGTATCAGAATGATGTTGGCCTCATAAAATGAGTTAGGGAGGATTCCCTCTTTTTCTATTGATTGGAATAGTTTCAGAAGGAATGGTACCAACTCCTCCTTGTACCTCTGGTAGAATTCAGCTGTGAATCCATCTGGTCCTGGACTTTTTTTGGTTGGTAGGCTATTAATTATTGC